ATCTGTATATTTGTTAATAAACAAAATAAATATTTTTCCTCAGGGTTGTTTTTCATATAAACCCTCACTTATTTAGAACTATTGCCAAGTTATGGTACACAGATGTACAATCCCAGCTCACTGGAAGACTGAAGCTGGACAATCACAAATTCAAGCTCAAACTGGGCAAATCATCAAATTTCCAAGATCCAGTCTCAAAGTAAAAAGTAAATTTATAAGGAGTGATGAGCTGGGCATGATGGCACATGCCTGTAATCCCAGCACTCCAGAGGCTGGAGGCAGGAGGATTGCTGCAAGTTCAAGGCCAACTTGGGGATATATAGTGAGTTCAAGGCCAACCTGTACTAAATATAGCAAGAGCCAGTCTCAAAAAACGAAAAAAAGTAAATAAAATACAATTTTAAAACAAAAGAGATGGTGTAACTCAATAGGAAGGCCTTGCGTTCAATACTCAGTACTTAGAGGGGAAAAAAAGATTTGAGGTACAATCAAAAACTTTTAAAAATTTCTTACAGTAAGAAAATATACCACCAACAGAACAAGGTGATACACACCTCTAATCCCAGCACTTGGGAGCCTGAGGCAGAGGATCACTGAAAATTGAAAGCCAGCCTTGACTATATGGCAAGACCCCATCTCAATAAAAAAAAAAAAAAAAAAAAAAAGCCTCCATTAATTTCCCTTACAATAGCTCCCAGCACTGCAAACACACTTAGCATCATTCTGCCACTTTCTGAAGCAGTCTGAGGGTCTGAGTTCACAAACAGCCAGACTGTAGCCATAAGGTAACTAGACTTCCCTCCCACTGCCCGCTAATGTCTCCTTTTGTACCGCCTACAAGGAGCTTGATTTCAGCACACCTGACTGTCTCTCCTCACTTCTTCCTATAGTCACCCCAGCCTTTAACAACCTATAATGGGCTGCAGATTTAAGTTTCTCTAACACGCGCCCAGCCTTGGGTTTGATCCACAGCACTACCAAAACAAATATCGAACCAAACTGGGCATAGTGGCACACCTATAATCCCACCACTCAGGAGGCTAAGGCAAGAGGATCACAAGTCTGAGGCCAGCCTGGGCTACACAGTGAGTTCAAGGCCCTATCTCAAAAACAAATGAGCCAGGCCCTATCTCAAAAACAAATGAACAAACAAGGGTCTGGGCATTTAGCTCAGTGACTTAAGTGCCTGTCTGGCAAGCGCAAGGTCATGAATTTGATCCCTAGTATAAAAAAAAAAGAAAGCTAAAAAAATATAAAACAGACAAAACTGTCCTGCCGGGGATATAGCTCATCTAAACAGTGCCTGTGGGGGCTGAGGATTTAGCTCAGCAGCATAAGTGCCTGCCTTGCAAGCAGGCAGTCGTGAGTTCAATCCCTGGTACCGATAAAAAGACAAAAAAAACAAAAAAACAAAAAACGAGACAAGTAAATGCCACTGACCGGCTTGCTTCCTTTTTTAATATTTTTTTATTTTAACTGCTGTGACTTGAGACAGGGTCCTACTATGTAGTCTATGCTGGCTTGGAACTCACAATCTTTGTGCTTCAGCCCCAAGTGCTAGGATTGCAGGTGTGGGCCACCAAGCCTGGGCACATCTTTCATAATTTTAATCTTTACTTGCCACTCCTGATTTTAAAAATTCTAGTGGCAGGCTGAGGATTTAGCTCTGCAGCACAGGTGCCTGCCTAGCAAGCACACAGTCTTAGTAGTCCCAGTACTAAAAAAAAATTTCCAATGGCTCTCCACCTTCATTTCAGTCTCATCATCAAGCAATGTCCCCACCACACATCCTGTTTTGGAAAAATTCTGTCTCATGCTGAGGCTGGAACTCAGGGTTCAGAGCTGGCTAACAAGCATTCTCCCACTGAGCAACAGGCCCAGCCCAGAAACACGCTATTTGTTCTCTCATTTGCCCTATGCCTTCTGCAAATGCTGCTCTCTCAAACCAGAATGTCCTTTCTTATTTGTGCAAGCTCCTACTTATTCTTCCAAACACCCAACTCAAGTATTTCCACGACAAAGATCTCCCTGACTCTCCTAAGCAGGATTCTCTTCATACCATACAGACGGCTTTATATGGACATGTAACACACAGCACTACAAAATCTTGTCATGCCACCAGTGGTGGTACTTTCCTGTGATCCCAGCTACTCGAGGCTGAGGCAAAAGGATAGAGGCCAGTCTGAGTAACTTCCTGAGATGCTTGCTGCCTCTAAACAGAAAGACCAAAACCAAGGTTGGGGATGTAGCTCAGTGTTAGAGCACTTGTATAGCAAGCACAAGGCCCTGAGTTCAACTCCACCAAAAACAAGAGCATTTCCCATCAAACTACATCCTTCATCATTATGGTCTTAAAGGAGGGTACTATTTGTATTCTCAGTGTCAGTTACACAGTAAGCATTCAATATATGTTTGCTGAATTAAAAACTCATCCTCGGGGCTGGAGGTTTAGCTCAGCGGCATAAGCGCCTGCCTTGCAAGCAGGCAGTCGTGAGTTCGATCCCTGGTACCGATAAAAATGAAAAAGACAAAAAAAAAAAAAAAAAAAAAACAAAACCTCATCCTCATAGATGCTGAATCAATTTATAACATGGTCATTTCCTCTGAACTTTATAGATTCCTAACTTGCAGTCTATGAAGTTCTAAATTTCCTTACAACAGCTTTGGAGTCCCCATGTTTGTTTCTTTCTTTTCATGTTTGTTTTGTATAAATGTTGAAGTAGGGGCTGGGGATTTAGCTCAGTGGTAAAAGGACCTGCCTGACAAGTGCAAGATCATGAGTCCGAACCCCAGCACCAAAAAAAAAAAAAAAAAAAAAAAACGTTGAATTAGTCAACTATAATGACTGAAAAAAATCTAAGGAAAACAACAAAAGCCAGGATCAAAAATTCAAGTCCAGCCAAAGCAACTCAGAGCCTTTGCAAGACTCTGTCATAACATCAAAAAAAAAAAAAAAAAAAAAAAAAAAAATCATGGGGCTGGGGATTTAGGTCAGCAGCATAAGCACCTGCCTTGCAAGCAGGTGGTCGTGAGTTCGATATCCAGTACCGATAAAAAACAAAAAGAAAAAGAAAAAAAAAATCGTGAAACTTAGTGAGAAAACCCTGAGTTCAGTCCTCAAGACTGAGAAAAAATATTGGGAGGGGGTACTGGTTGGTTTTTTGAGACAGGGTCTCCCTATGTAGGTTCAGGATGGCCTTAAACTCACTACATAGTGCAGGACAGCCAGGGGAAGCCTAAAGATATACAGTGCGCCACCTCCCCCAACCCTCTACCACCAAATTTTTTTTGGTCTTTGTGTGTGTGTCTGGGATTGAGCTCAAGGCTTCGAGTTTGCCAAGCAGACTCCACTGAGCTAAATCCCTGGGGGGTTTTTTTTGTTGTTTTTTTGTTTTTGTTTTGTCTTTTTCGTTTTTATCAGTACCAGGGACCGAACTCACAACTGCACACTTGCAAGGAAGGCGCTTATGCCGCTGAGCTAAATCCCCAGCCCCCCCCCCCACCCTTTTTTTAAGACAGGGTCTGGCTTTGCAGTTCAGGGCAAGCTTGAGTTCATTTTATAGCTCCAGCTGGTCTCAAACTTGCAACAATCCTCCTGCCTCAGCCTCCAAGTGCTGGTATTACAGGCATGTGCCACCATGCCTGACTCCAAAACAAACTGGTTTTTTGTTTTTTGGGGTTTTTTTTTTTGAGCAGAATATTTGAGAAAAAGAAAGCTTCTGTCACAGAGACACAAGAGGTCCTGAGTGGATTGCCCCAAAACAAATTTTTAAAACGCTCCCTTAATCCTAAGAATAAGACTTTCCTAACTTGAAGAATCTACCCTTCCCTGATGAAATATCCTGCACTTATTCACATAGAAATTAGTATACACATACATTCAACGAAAGGCACACCCAAAATTACTCCGAGTGACTTGTACTAAATTGACAGCAGCTACACAAACCACGTTTGTCCTAACTGCCTTGGTTAACAAACAGTCTTCAAATCTGAGAGCCATCTGTGTGTCAGTGCACCATGGCCTATAATCCAAGGATTTGTGAGGCTGAGGCAGGAGAATCCCTACTAAGAATTAAAGGTCCGCCGAACTACACAAGACCCTGTCTCAAAGAGAAAGAGAGAGAGAGAGAGAGAGAGAGAGAGAGAGAGAGAGAGACAGAGAGACAGAGAGAGAAAGAGAGAAAGAGACAGAGAGACAGAAAGAGAATGAGAATTGCTGATGGTGCCATACTCATTGGGGCCTGGCTCAATTTTCCTGCTGCCCTGCTTTCCAGAGGCTGCACCCCCTCAGCTTTGAGGGCTCCTTATTTCCCAGGGCTTGTATCAAGCTACCCCAGAAAATATTTCACTGACTCTGTGTAAAAGGTGGGTGAAGCCCATCAGCTGGAGACTGAAGGCAGGAGGATAAGACAGCTCAGGACACCTTAAGACATCCTACAAGCCGGGCTTGCGGGTGCATGATTGGGATTCCGGCACTCTGGGAGACTGAGGCAGGAGGATCTCAAATTCGAGCCCAACAAGTGGGTAACTCAGTGACTTAGACAAACCCTGTCTCAAAATTTAAAGTTAAGGAAAATATTAATAAGTAATAAATTAATAAAACTCAGTATCCCATTACTAAAAGAAAAACAAGGGCACCCACAAACCCGGAGGCCTGGCCGCCCATAGCCCTCCCGGGCCAAGCGGCCCCTAGAGGAAGCAGCAGGCGGGGGCAAGCCCCGCGCAGGGGTCAAAGGTCAGAGCCGGGCTTCCGGGAGAGGCGGGCGGAGGCTAGGCTGGAGCGGGCGCCGGAAGGACAGACCGCGGGAGGAGCGGCGCCAACTCCCCGGGTTTAGGCGCCGGCCGGCCCAACCCCGCCGCCACCTGCGGCCCTCGGCCTTCCTCTGCGTCTCCGCGGTCCCAGGTTCTCGTCGCGGCGGGCGCAGGCCCCGCTCCTCAGCGCCTCCAGGCCGTGCCCTCGCACGGCGGGCACTCCACAGGTGCAGGCCGGCACCTCTTACCGAGCCCCGACTCCTCCTCTGCCGCCCGGGCCGCTCGCTCCCTACGCCGCTGCAGCCGCTCTTGCTCCCGAGCGCGCGCCCGATCTCCCGGCCCGCCACTCCTCGCCAGGTCCTAAAGTCCGGCCTGCGGTGCTCGCCCGCGCCTGCTCCCCACAGTGGCCTCGGACCACGACTCCCAGCAGGCACCGCGACAACTACGGCATCGCGAGAATGAACTTGGCGCAGGCTTTTAAGAGACTGATGGGAAGGGGACTGTAGGAAACATGACAACCCTGCAGAATGTAATCTCAGCACTCCGGAGGCTGAGGCAAGAGGCTCATCATGAGTTCGAGGCCAGTCTGAACTACACTAGCACAACCCTGTCTCAAAGAAAAAAAAAAATGGTAGATTTAACTTAGCGGTTCATTCCAGGAGTAATGCCTCTAGAAACACTGGCAAAGTTTGTAAGAATTTTGTGTTCCAAAATATTTACTGCAAATTTGTCAGTGAAATATTGGAAGCAAACTCATTGAACAGTTACGGTATGTGCAAAACACCGTGTAAACGTGGGGGGGGGGGGTTTGGTGGCCCACACCTGTATTTCCAGCACTGTGGGAGACAAGAGACAAGAGGTTCACAAGTTCCAGCCCAGCCTGGACAATCTAGTGACTTGGTGAGAATCTATCAAAAATAAAAAAGGACTGGGGATGTAGCTCAGGACAAAGGCCCTGGGTTCAGTACACACACTCACAGGCCCGGCTGGTGCCCAGCCTGGAATATTTAATGAGAGCCTGTTTCAAAGAACCACAAAAGAGGGATTGGGGATGTAGCTCAGTGGTGGAGTGCCTGCTTAGTATTTGTGAGGCCTTTGGGCTCATCCCCAGCACCATACAAACAGCACTGCCACCTAGTACATGTGTACAACACGTGTATATTTCCATTGTGATGACTGAAATGGCCAGGTACAGTGAGAAAAACATTCTGAGTGATTAGTTCATCTAATGTTCTAGGATTTATAGAAGAATGTGAGCTGCTGTGTGTGTGGAGTGCTAGCCATCATACCAGGAAAGACAAAAACACAAACTCAGGTTCTCTGTAGATTTTTATTTTTCTCCTCTACTTATGTAGCAGGACTCTCTTATGGAGTTAAGGATACACCAAGGCTTATCTTTCCAGGAAACAACTTCATTCCTGGGCTCCATGGGCCAAAAGGCTGAGCTCAAAATGGCAGAATTTTGCCTTTTATTCAATTTTTTTGTCTTCATTTCCCTTAAATGGTAACACAGTAACATACTACATTTTATTCTGGTACAGTCTATGTCACACAGCCATACTAGAACTACACAGGCATATCTAGGAACTAACCATGCCCTGTTGATCCGGCCTGCAGATCAATCCGTGGGGCATCCCTGGAGGCGGAACAGGGATTAAATAAAAGACACAGGGAAGACAAAGAGAGATAGAAATAAGTCGAGATAATCCGATCAAGCCCCCGTTTATTCAGGAAGTGATCACATCTTTTATAAGCCAAGGGCAGGAGGTGGGACAGGAAGAGGCTATGGGGATGAATACAACAGGGTCACTGTCACATCCGGGTACGTGACGTAAGCAGGAGAGGATTATGGTTAATGTAGGCAGACGCGGTGCTAATAGGGGAGAGAGGCAGGGAGGCAGCAATGGGCTGTTGCTCGGCTCCCTACACCCTGTCACCTTTCCTCATTCTGAGAATGCCTTCACTGCATTCCTTTGGGAGGATCTGTACCACCCTTACACAGTAACATCATGATGTGGTTATCTGTGCCTAGCATGGTGCAGGCCTATAATCCCAGCCCTTGAGAGGCTGAGGCAAGAAGGATCACTTTGAGTTCAAGGCCAGCCTGGGCTATATACTAAATTCCATGCCAGCCCAAATTACATATTGAGACCCTGTCTCAAACAGACAGACAAAACACATGATTACTTGCTAGGGGTGGATGGAAAGAATAGGGAGGCAAACCTCAATTACTGGAATACCAGTGAGAAGCCCTTTGTCCAGCTGAAAGGATCCCATTCTGTACCTGATCTCCTTTCAACAAAGATTTGTTTCACACCTGCCATAAAAAAGAAAAAAGTTGGGGCTGGGGATTTCGCTCAGCGGCATAAGCACCTACCTTGCAAGCAGGCAGTCGTGAGTTTGATCCCAGGTACCAAAAATAAATAAATAAATAAAAAAGTTACAATTCTGAGACAGTATTGTAACCAAGGCATACAAAGATAGATAGAGATATGTACAATTCAATGTTTCAAATCCCAGACCAAGTTATCAAGATCAGGTTTAGTGCTTTCTGTGGTGGTACATCTCTGCAGTCCCAACACTCTGAGGCAGGAGGATTACAAATATGACCCCAGACTAGACAAGCAATTTATCAAGATACTGTCACAAGGCTAAGAATGTAGCAGACTTAGAAAAGCTAGAGTTAAATATGCATTGATGTAGGTAACCACTCAAGACTGCTTCGGAACTCCAAGGGAATGTCTAAGAAACCTATGGATGTGAGCCCACTTGTCTAGCGCAGGCACACAGTGGGATCCAGTTAAATGACCATGACTTAGTACAGGTAAACACAAATGTGCTGATTATGTCACTGTGTAAGAATGTAAATATTAGGGGACTGGGGATTTAGCTCAGCGGCTAAGTGCCTGCCTTGAAAGCAGACAGTCATGAGTTCAATCCCCGGTACCAATAAAAAGGAAAAAGACCAAAAAAAAATTATAAAAGAATGTAAATATTAGGTAGCAACCTGTGTAAGAATTATACAATGAAGACACAGGCAGTTCTCACTCTGGCACTCTGCTCTGCTCCATGCTGATGTCTTGCACTGGTACGTCCTTTAACTTCAGGACCTCACCTGCAAAAATCTTCTGTGGGCCCCCGAAAGTGAGCCAACAACTGACAATTCAAAGAAGGAAAAAAATCTATGTCACTCTCCAAAGAAGGTAAATAGAGTAAAGTGTCAAGTGGCCAGGTGTGGTGGCACACACTGAGGCAGAAGGACCACTGAGTCGCAGTGAGTCCAAGGCTATCCTAAATTACATGATGAATCCCTGTCCCAACACTTTGCCCCACGCCCAAAAAAAGAGGACAGGAGAGGAGGAAAAGAAAAGGTAGGGGCATGAAAGTGTAGCTGCATGGTATATCCTACTCCTACCAGGAAAGTAAATTCAGTACAGATCTAGACTACAGCAAATTCAGAAGATCACATGCTGGATAGTTAAGAGAACGACTTTTGTAACACTGTGTGACTAGATCTCATCAGCTACCTATACACCTATGTAATTTTGGATAATTACTTTAGTTCCTGGAGTTTCAACTTGCTCATCTGGGAAATGGGGGTAAGAAATCTTATGTCAGCATGGTATGGTGGTTGCTAGAATTATGGGGCGGCGGCTGAAAAAGATAAGTATGAAATATAAATAATCAGGGGCTGGGGATTTAGCTCAGCAGCATAAGCGCCTGCCTTGCAAGCAGGCAGTCGTGAGTTCGATCCCTGGTACCAATAAAAACGAAAAAGACAAAAAAAAAAAAAAAAGAAATATAAATGACCTTTATTTTAAGAATGCGGTGAGAGGGGCTGGAGGTTTAGCTCAGCAGCGTAAGCGCCTGCCTTGTAAGCAGGCAGTTGTGAGTTCAATCCCTGGTACCGATAAAAAGGAAAAAGACAAAAAAAAAAAAGAATGCGGGGAAAGGCCCCCCAATCCCGTGGGGTGCAGCATCTTCCCCCGGGGTCGGCAATCTCTCCATGGGACACATGGAGTGGGGGCATACATGTAGCTTAGGTTTGGGGTAGAGCTTGAGGGGACATTATGGATGCACAGGTATCTCATTGGCACTCGTTTGGCACCAGGGACAAATTCCTAGGGGTGGGGAAGATGGGGTCACAGGTAAATTCGTAGGGGTGGGGGAGATGGAGCTCCTTGGTTTCACCTGAGGCTTTACTGGCTACAGTGTCCTGTCTGGACCAAAATCCTTTCATACCCCATCTTATGATTATTATTATGAAAAGGGCTGGATATTTGGGTTTTTTTATTGTTTCCTGCTGGAAGGGGCGCTGTACTGAGGTCTAGGGGAGTTGACGGGATGACTGTTGATGCCCATGTAGAAGCTGGTGCCAGGTGTTTTAGCCAGGACAACTTTATCATTGGTGAATGCACGTATGTTAGACTGGAAAAACAAAGAGACAAGATGTTATGAGGCGGTATGGTATGGTCATATTTAAGGACCCAGGTGAGGTAGAAGGAAAGGTGCTTTTGATTTAGATATGTCATTTTATCAGGACCACGTTGAGGTAGAAACATTTCCACGGTAAGGCAGAACTCTGCAAAATAAATGTGGGGTTAGGAGGAGTGAAGTTATGAGAAGTGATTACTCCCCCATCTGAAAGGGTAAAAGTTAAGAGGTTAAGGATTGTCTCTGGTATGCATGATGTGGGAGTCTTTATGAAATACTATTGAGAGTCCTGCTGTAAAAAAGAATAAGAAATTAGAAACCAAATTGGGTAACAAAACATGACAGCCTAAGAGTTGTGGTTGTGAGGCCTTGGTGAAATGGAGATGAGTAGGCAAAATGATGGTTAGATCTAGGGCTAGAAGGGCACCACTTAGCCTGAGTGATGTGAAACCAGGATGGCAGTCTAGTAACTTTGATCACTGTTGAGGTTGCCAAGAATATCAGGTCACTGTAACCTGGTGGTAGTCCTTAGAATGATTTGCTATAACAGAACTTTAGCAAGTATATCAGCAGTCTCCCTGGTTGTGTGAAAGGCTTTTATGTATCCTGAAAAAGTATAAACAAAGTGAGAAGACAAAATTTATCTGTCAGTCTTGACCAGGGTTATGTCTGAGAAATTGGTGAGTAAGAAAGGAAGGGGGGGGGTAGTCTAGCAATAACAGGTGTAAGCTGTTGAGGCCTCAGTGTCTGGGTCAGCCTGTATAAACACAAGGGAATAAAAAGCATTTTTAAGATTTAGGACTGTAGGGGCTGGGGATTTAGCTCAGTGGCATAAGCGCCTGCCTTGCAAGCAGGCACTCGTGAGTTTGATCCCTGGTACCGATAAAAACAAAAATGACAAAAAAATAAAAATATTTAGGACTGTAGAGTGAGTGGTGGAGGGAAGATTTGAAACCACTGGGTAGATTGGGAAGCAGTCTGGAACCAGCACCAAATAGGCACTGTTTGTAAATGGCATAGGTTGACGTTGAATATCCCCTTATAGAGATTGAGTACCTACTATAGCAGCCTGAAAACTCAGAATTCTGTATATATGGCCTTTATGTCCACAAATATAGAGAATGTCTTACCTGAGACTTTTAGTGGGAGTTGGACTCTGAGACGGACACCTTAAAGGGGGCTGTTGTTGGGGCTGGGGATTTAGCTCAGTGGCATAAGCGCCTGCCTTGCAAGCAGGGAGTCGTGAGTTCGATTACCGGTACCCATAGAAAAAGGCAAAAAAGACAAAAAAAAATTATTGTTGGGGCTGGGGATTTAGCTCAGTGGCATAAGTGCCTGCCTTGCAAGCAGGGAGTCGTGAGTTCGATCCCCGGTACAGATAAAAAAGAAAAAAGACAAAAAAAGGGGGGGGGGCCTGTTGTTGGCCCTGAGCCTCATCAGTCTTCAGCAGCAAGTTTAAGCAGATCAGGACTCTCAACAATATTTCCTAAAGACTCCTACATCATGCATACCAGAGACAAGCCTTACCTTGTTAACTTTTACCCTTTCAGATGGGGGAGTAATCACTTCTCATAACTTCACTCCTCCTAACCCCACATTTATTTTGCAGAGTTCTGCCTTACCGTGGAAATGTTTCTACCTCAACGTGGTCCTGATAAAATGACATATCTAAATCAAAAGCACCTTTCCTTCTACCTCACCTGGGTCCTTAAATATGACCATACCATACCGCCTCATAACATCTTGTCTCTTTGTTTTTCCAGTCTAACATACGTGCATTCACCAATGATAAAGTTGTCCTGGCTAAAACACCTTCTTCTACATGGGCATCAACAGTCATCCCATCAACTCCCCTAGACCCCAGTCCAGTGCCCCTTCCAGCAGGAATCAGTAAAAAAATATATATATATCCAGCCCTTTTCATAATAATAATCGTAAGATGGGATATGGAAGGATTTTGGTCCAGACAGGACACTGTAGCTGGTAAAGCCTCGGGCAGAACCAAGGGGCTTCATCTCCCCCACCCCTAGGTATTTACCTGTGGCCCTATCTTCCCCACCCCTAGGAATTTGCCCCTGGCGCCAAACAAGTGCCAATGGGCTACGCGTGCATCCCTAATGCCCCCTCAGGCTCTACCCCAAACCTAAGCTACATGTATGCCTTCACTCCATGTGTCCAATGGAGAGATTGATGAACACGGGGAGATGCCACACCCCAGGGAATCGGAGATCTCCCCCCGCATTCTTAAAATAAAGGTCATTTATATTTCATATTTCCTATCTTTTCAGCTGCCGCCCCACAATTCTGTCAGTGGTATGTGCCTGTAATCCCAGAACTCAGGAGACTAAGGCAGGAGGATCACCAAGAGTTCAAAGTCGGCCTACTGATTTTAAGACCAGCCTGAACCAAATAACAAGACCCTGTCCCCCTCCCAAAAAACAGTCCTATGTCATATTGATTTGTTGATCTACATAGAACTCTTCTTGTTCAACAGGACTCTTCCTTCTGGTGTGTCTAACTGAAAAAACATGCCCTGGGCAAACAGGGTAAGTGAAAACATCTGACCACTAGGTGCAGCTGTGAAGGCTTTTCCTGTTGATGAGAAGAAGGGAAGAAGGGCTGGGGATTTAGCTCAGGGGTGTGCCTTCCTGGCAAACTCAAGGTCATGAGTTCAATCCCCCGTACCAAAAAACAAAAACAAATGTGCAGAAAAAGGAGAGATCAGAATCTGCAACAGGGCAGCAATCAGGTCCCACTGCACCAGGGTCCACACTGTCCTTGACAGATGAGTCCTGCTGAAAAACAACTGTGTTTGTGTCTTAGTCACTTTTCTCATTGCTGAGACACAATACTTGATTAAAAGAAGAGAGGTTCACTTGGGCTCACATTTCAGTCCATAGTCTGCTGGTTCCAACACAGGAAGCCACCGCAGAGCGGTAGGGAGGAGGAGAGGGGTTCACACAACAGAGGACAGGAAGGACAGAAAGCAGAGGAAGAGCTGGGGAGGGAGGTGACCCTTCCAGGTCATGCTCCAGTGACTGCCCTTCTGTCTGGATTCCAGCTTCTAACTGCAAGTCAGCTATAAACCCTATAATCCAGCCACCTACCAAAGACCTTGCCTGTGAACCCTTGAGGCTGAGGACACCTTAGTATAAACCAGAAGAGCTCCCTCTTTCTTGGTCTTCAGTGTACCTTGGTTCCTAGTCATCAGCCAAACCTGTTCTTCCTTTCTCTTGCAAATTCTGTGAGCTCCCTAGTGCTTTCTGTTCTCCCATTCCTGAGCACTATCCCCAAGAAGTGCTGTGCTACATTTCCAGACCTTTTTAATTGAATTTTTAGGCTACTTAGGATTGAACCCAGGCCATCTCACTGAGCTATATTCCCATCCCTTTTTAATTTGAGATAGAGTTTAAGTTTCGCAAATCTTATCTATTTTGAGTTCAAAATCATAATCCTCCTGCCTGTCTTCTAGTAGAGGTGTGCACCACCAACCCCCAATCTATTTTTGTAACTTTTTTATTTGTAACTTTTAACAAAAGATTCCTAAGCGGTATCACAAAAACAATGTGCCCACACAAACTTATTTTTTGATGTCTTTGTGCCTGGTTCTACTCTAAAAAAATAAAACAGGATTTTCAAAAAAAAGGTGAAAGAAGTTCTATGGCAAGTAGAACTGGAGGAGTAATTTGGGACAGGAAGAGGACATGTAGGGCATGTTGGGGTTCAAATGTCTATGAGACAACATGGCAGAAATATTAAGTAGAGATTTGGATGCCCTTTACTAGAACTCAACAGAGATATTTAGGTTCTAGATAAGTATTTCAGAGCCACTGACTTTGAAGTGAAGTTTCAAACTATGAGTAAAGAGAAGACAGCACATCTGGGTGTGACAGTGCAGCCTCTAATCCCAACATTTGGAGGCTGAGGCAGGAAGATCACCAAGAGTAAGGCCAGCTTGGAGTACATAGCAAGACCTTATCCCTCTGCTTCAAGAAAAAAACAAGGGGCTGGGGGTTTAGCTCAGCGGCATAAGCACCTGCCTTGCAAGCAGGCAGTCGTGAGTTCGATCCCTGGTACCGATAAAAATGAAAAAGACAAAAAAAAAAAAAAGAAAAAAACAAGAGAGAGAGAGAAAGAGACAGAAAGACAGAGAGAGAAGATACATCATGAAAGAGACCAGAAAGGAGGCAGCATGTCCAAGAAGTAACTGGGGCCTCTAGGAAAAGGGCCAACACTTAAAAGATCTCAGCAAGCAGCAGAATGAGAAAGGAAAGGGAAAGGGCATATTAGGAGTGGAGGCAGGGAGAGGCATTGAAAGGATGGGTCCCAGGACAGGACAGACTGGAGTTGCATGTGTGCTGAGGGCACCTTACAGCTGTGGATGTCGTCATCCAGAGCAGGCGGGCTGGACAGAAGGCCAGGAGATCCCACTGCACGGTGGAAGGAACCACACATAGGTTGCAGAGTTGCTAGGAGATGACAGACTCTGTCTGTGCCTGTAACAGACCTCATTTCCTTCCTAACAAGCTGCTATCCTGGGTGATAACTTGCTGTAGTGTACGGCATAAATCCTGCATATATTAACGTGGCTTGGTGAGGATCATGCAGCTAGATCACCTGTGACTGAACCACCTCTGCCGCTTAACACCTTATACCTTGCTCAGGGTACTTAGCCTCTCTGTGCTTCACTTTACTGGTCTGCAAAGCAGATGCAGCAAGGATGCTTGGGGATGCTATGGGTGTTAGGTATTATTGGCATTATTTACCACGAGATTGTCATCTCCATGAGGCTGAAGTTTTCTAGTTTATTCAGGGGCATCTACTCAGAGCCTGGAATAAGATAGGTGCTCAATAAAACCAAACTGATGAGTTGGGCACAGTGGCACATTCCTGTAGTCTGAGCACTTGGGAGGCTGAGGCAAAAAAACCACCATAAGTATGAGACCAACATGGTCTACACATTGAGTTCAAGATTAGCCTAGACTACACAGCCAGACCCTAGCTCAAAATACTAAAAAAGGACCGGAAATTTGGCTCAATGGCATAAGTGCCTGCCTGACAAGCACGAGGTCATGAGTTCGATCCTCCGTACCAAAAAAAAAAAAAAAAAAAACCAAACAAACAAAAAACCGCAGGAAAAAAAAACATAAAAAGCACCCTGATGAGCAAAAGTCACCTGGGGCCCCAGAGCGACGAAGCCTAGCGAGAGGGATGTTCTCCGCTGCAACCCTCAGTACTCCGATCGCAGTTTCTCAGAACCGGAACTGGGGTGCCAGCCCGTTTGGAGCGCCTCTGTAGGGCCGGCCAGGGCCTAAACTCGGAGGCCCCGCCCCAGGCGGGCCGCGCTCCGGGCAAGTTGCCGGGGCGGGGGCGGGGTTGCGCGGGGCGGGGACAGACAGGACCCAGCGGGTCGCGGGCAGGCAGGCCGGGGAGGGGCGTGTCCGGGCGGAGCTCAGCCCAACCTGCCAGGCGGAAGTCTCAGGGGCGGCCGGTTCCCCGGAGCTCAGCTCACCTAAAGGCTGACCCGCGGTGTCGGGAGCAGGGCGGCGCCATGAAGCGCGGGGCGTCGCTGCGCCTGCTGTCCGACCTGAGCGACTTCAGCTGCGCGGCGCAGTTCCGGGAGCTGCTGGCCCGGGATGCGGCGATCCGCCTGCGGTGCAGCGCCGACGGCCGACACCTGCTGCTGCTTAGCGGCCCCGGAGCGCCGGCCCCACAGCTGCTGGTGGCCGCGCGCGGATCGGGCGCGGGGCTGGAGCGGGCCTGGCCAGAGGCCCGGGCTGCGCCCCTGGACGCCATCTTCCTATCTTGGCCGGCGCGGCCCGCCCTGGCGCTGGTGTGGGAGAGCGGCCTGGTGGAGCTGTGGGGCACTGACCTGGGGCCCGCCTGGCGGCGGCTGCACACCACCGAACTATGTCCCCACGGCGCGGCCCGCGTGGCGGCGGCGGCAGCGCCCCGGGGCCGCCTGGTGTGGTGCGAGGAGCGCCCGGACGGCGCCGGCGGCCACCGCGTGTGCGTCCGCACGCTGGAGCCCGGCGGTGAGACTGGTGTCCGCTTGGGCCGGACGCACGTCCTGCTGCACCATTGCCCTCCTTTCCGTTTGCTGGCCTCTCGCAAGGATGTCTTTCTGGGCCCCACTGCCTCCGCTTGGCCAGGTGCCGCCCACATCCTGCTCACTTGGAACCCGAGCAAAGGCAAGGTGATGGTGACTGCCCCGCGCCTCGGCCTGTCCTACAGTAAAAGCCTGAATCCCAAGCAGGGAGATACCTGGGACTTCCGAACGCTGCTCCGAGGCTTTCCTGGGTTGCTGTACCCTGGAGAGCCACTGGCTGTCCATACCTGGGCCCCAACTCCCCAGGGACTGCTGTTGCTGGACTCGAGGGGCACCATCATCTTAGTTCAGGCCCATGGTGGTACCCGAACCGTGGGCGCCCTGCAGGAGGCCTCTATAGGTCTGGAGAGCACTGCCGCTCTGGGAGCATTCAATGGTACGCTGGCCTGTGTGCTGGGCTCCACCTTGGAACTGCTGGACATGAGCACTGGGCGGCTGTTGGAGCGGAAGGTCCTCAGTACAGACCGGGTCCATTTGCTAGAGCCCCCAGCCCTTGCAATGAAGGATGGGGAGGAACTAGAGACCCGAAGGGGGCTTCGTTTGCTTTCAGCCTTAGGTCTGTTTCATGTGGGTTGGGAAGCCCCCCAATCCTTTGAGCTGCCTTCCGCCACCGACCTGGTATTCGAGGAGGCCTGTGGGTACTACCAGCGGCGAAGCCTGCGGGGTGCCCAGCTCACCCCCGAGGAACTGCGGCACAATAGCATGTTCCAAGCACCTCAAGCCCTCGCCTCGATCCTCCAGGGTCACCTGTCCCCGTCTGCACTGTTGACTATCCTAAGGGTTGAGCTTCGGGATTATCAGGGGCTAGAGCAGCTAAAGGCCCAGTTGGTGGCAGGAGAGGAGGAGGAGGCTGTCTGGACAGAGCTGGCCCACCAGGAAGTGGCACGCCTGTTGAGAACTGAGTTGACAGGAGAGCAGCTTGCCCAGCTTAACACTGTTTTCCAGGCCCTTCCCTCAGCAGCCTGGGGTGCCACCCTTCGTGCCCTGCAGCTCCAGCCAGATGGAAATGGCAGGCTGAGCTCCCAAGCTCCCACTGATGTGTGGAAAAAAGTGCTAGGGGCTACAGCAGCTATAAAGGAAGCCCCCAGTGGGATACTGCCTGCCTTTGAGCTCCTGTGCCAGTGCCTGTACCGACTGGAGCCGCAGTGGCTCCCCTCTTTCGTGGAGCTTGCCCAGCAGCAGGGTGGGCCAGGCTGGGGAGCTGGAGGCCCAGGGCTGCCCCTGTACCGTAGAGCCCTGGCTGTCCTAGGTGAAGAGGGGACCAGACCTGAGGCACTGGAGATAGAGCTGCTTTTGGGCAGCAGGCGGCCCAAGGCTGTACTGCAAGCTGTGGGCCAGCTGGTGCAAAAGGAGCAGTGGGAGCAGGCTCTGGAGGCCGGCCTAGCCCTTGGGCCCTCCAGCCCCCTGCTTCGAAGCGAGATCTTCAAACTGCTACTGGCCGAGTTTGCCAGGCATCGCCAGCTTGATGCTCACCTCCCCCTTCTCTGCTGCCTATGCCCACCAGAGCTTACTCCAGATGAGCTCCTGCTTCTCCTGAGAGCACACCTCCCAGATGAGGGGGCACCCCCCACCCCATTCCCTGAGCCAGGGGCAGAGCCCCCTCTCACCTTGGGCTTGCTCAGAACCTTGTTGGAGCAGACTGCGGCTGAAGGACGGCCCTCAGGCCCAGTCCTAAGCCTGTACGAGGACATCTTGTGGGACCTACGCACTCCACCCCCTACTCCACCTCGGGGACCTGTGACTACACTCCAGGCAGCAGAGCAGCCAGCCCTGGAGGCCTGGGCACCACTTGGACAGGGCCCCTGTGTGACTGACACAGGAAGTCATTTGTAGGACACGGTGATCAGGGAGGAGTGCCTAGGAGTTGGAGGGGGGCAAGGGTGGAACCTGTGTGTGCAATTCCCTTCTCTCTCCTGGAACAATTTTTGAAATATATATAAATGTCAAATGTGCTTACCATTTTTGTGGTTTTGAACAGCTGAAGATCTCAGAGGGTTGTGAATTATAGAGGGAGTGGTTGAATTTGGATGTTTTGGTTAAAGCAGCCACTTCCAGTCACAAAATTAACATTTGTGAGCATCTGTTATATGCCAGTCACTCTGGTCTTTATCAGATCCCTCATCTAATGCTCCTACCCCATGGGAAAAGTGCTAATGTTATCATTTTCTGGGTGAGACAAAGGGACCTGGCCAAGTGAGTTACCTAGAAAGCAGCCGCTCAGCATTTGCACAGCCTCCTCCATGGCCACACAGCTGCTGTTTTCTGGGGGCTCAGGTGAGTTCCTCATCCCAGCTCAAGGCTGGATACACCTTGCTGTCCCCAGCAGGTAAGAATTGTGATGGCCTCTGAGCTAGTGCCTGTCTCCCAGTTCCTGGAGCAGCCCGAGTCTCAAGGCAGCTGAGTCAGACAGGAGAGCTGCCTGCAGAGCCCTCTGGCTTTGTAACTAGAGTTGCTAGGGACAGAGCTTGGAGGACCCCACATTCCTTCTGACTCCCCAAGATAAGTAGTGTGTGCAGTACAGATTTCTGCTTGTCCAGATTAGCCAATAGGACCACCTCTGAAGAGGCTTTGGCCCTGGGCCTACTTCTCAAGTGACCTTTACCTAGTTCTGGTGTAGGGTAAGTCGCTGGATGCTGCTACTTGATATCATCCTTGAAAGGGTTTTGGCCCAGATAGGACACTGTAGCCAGGAAAGCCACAACCAGAAGCAGGAAGCCCCATCTCCCCTGCCCCTAGGAAGTTACCTGTGACGTCATCTTCCCGCCCCTGGAAATTTACATATGGCGCCAAACGTAGGACCAATGGGCTACCTGTGTATCCCTAATGCCCGCCTTAGGTTCCACCCCAAACCGAGGCTATTTACAGGCCCCCACAACACGTGTCTGCCGGAGAGATGGCCAGACGCCAGCGGTGGGGTTGCCGGTCATCTCTCTCCATGTTCTCAGAATAAAGGCCGCTTTTTATTTTATATTTCTCATCTTTTGTTAATATTTTTCATCTTTTGGAAATAACCCTAGCAATCCTGGGGCCTAGCTAGCTCTTGTCCAAGGCTGATGCCAGGGTACAGATTGATACTGAGTTTAGTCTTCAGCTGACCCAGCAGCTTGGGTTCTGTTCAGTCATGAGGCTGGACTCAGACTCCTGTGGCCCTAGAGCCAGTGAAGGGGGCAGCCACTCATCCTGCCCTTCCCATGGTTGAAGTGAGCTGCTCCTCAACCTCATGGAGGTACCAGGGTCTGGACAGCCAGATCTAGAATGGTTCCTGCACCTTGTTGAAGTCTTGGGGTGACAACCTGGTCTTATCCAAGTGTCCTCAAGCAAGACTGCCTGAATTTGGGCTACTAGCTTTCAGGCCACTACTCCTCCCAGAGGCATCCAGCAAAGGACACACCCTCCAAAACCAAGAAGCAAGCCTACTGTGGTTGCTTTTTCTCAGCCTGGCTTCAGCCTCTTCCCTGGAGAATAAATGACTCTGGGCCACCTGTGGGACGTAAGGAAGTTGGGGCAAAATTTTCCTTGGCATCATGTGCAGTAGGGGACAGAGCCTCCGTGTGAACCTCAGGCTACAGAGGTCAGGCGCACCTCTTGGAGGGCTCCTGTGCTCTAGCCTAGCATCAGCCTGTCACCTCCCTGGGGACCTCAGATTGTAGGGGTCACAGGTCAGACCCCCACCTTTCCACATGTGCCCTACAAGAAAGGAAACAAAGGATAACTCTTGGTCTTACATTCCCTGACCTGGCCTTCAGACTGGCCCTGGGCTGCCTGACAGTGAAACTGTTAGAGTGGCTTTTATTTACATTTTCTCAAATCTAACTTTCATTCCCAGAGGTGTTCAAATTATTTTGGTACTCAGAATTGAGCTAAGGGCATGTGCACTGGCGACATCCTTAACCGCTTCTTTTTTCTGTCTTATTTTGAGATGGTGTTGCTCAATTGCTAAATTACATTGCTGCGACCCAGTGTGGCTCCTGAGGTTCTTGGGGTTAAGGACCATGAGAGGATGAGAAAAACAAAGAAAAAACAAAGCTGGGGTCAGGTGGAACCCTTCTCCTCCTGATGGAAAGAAAGGAACTGCTCAGCTAGTGTAGCACCTTTATTTATACACTCCAAGGAAGAATGTTAGTTCCAACCCCTCTGCCTAGCAGCTTGTTCACCTGGCTGGCCTGGGGCCCTGCCCTCTTGGTGCTAGAACAATTTGTTTACATAGCTTGTTTTGGTCTCTGTTTTCTTTGGTCTGGACTTGCCTTAGCCCCACATATATGGTCAATCTCTAGATTCAATGGTTTCCTACATTATGTAGGCAAACTGAGCTTGATGGCCTGGGGCTGTAGCTCAGTGGCACAAGCGCCTACCTGGCAAGTGCGAGGTCCTTGATAGAGTTATTTCCAAAAAATGAAAAATATTAACAAAAGATGAGAAATATAAAATAAAAAGCGGCCTTTATTCTGAGAACATGGAGAGAGATGACCGGCAACCCCACCGCTGGCGTCCGGGGATCTCTCCGGCGGACACGCGCGGCGTGGGGGCCTGTAAATAGCCTCGGTTTGGGGTGGAACCTAAGGCGGGCATTAGGGATACACAGGTAGCCCATTGGTCCTAGGTTTGGCGCCATATGTAAATTCCCAGGGGCGGGAAGATGGCGTCACAGGTAACTTCCTAGGGACAGGGCAAGATGGGGGCTTCCTGCTTCCGGTTGTGGCTTTCCTGGCTACAGTGTCCTGTCTGGGCCAAACCTTTCAGTCCTGAGTTTGATTCCCGGTACCAAAACCAAACAAACAAAACTGAGTTTGAATTTGTGATCCTCCAGTATGGTCTCATCCAGATGCGTGCCATTTTGAGCTGGAATTACAGCCCCAGGACTGCTGTGGGCCCAGTCTCCCTTTCCAGCCTTAGTCCCAGTCCTCTCCGTTTCTAGCAAAAATGCAGGGTGTGACTGACTGGTCGCTGTGGCCAACTGAAAAGAAGGGGCTGTGCCCTGTGTTAGAGGTGGTCGGGCTTTCCTCCCAGTTTTCGGAGGCTGGACTGACAGAGCGATGCAGACCTGCCGCTGATGGGAGGGAGGCGCGTGGGTCCGGAGGATGAGCCTGGCTGCCTTGGGCAGTGCTGGGGACTGGGAAGGCCCTGGGCCGGCAAGAGTCATGGGAGAAAAGGAGGGTCCAGTGCAAGAAGCCCCCACCTGGCCCAGGGGAGGAGTGAAGGAAAACCCGAGCCAGCGAGGGTCCGTCGTGGTCTGAGCCCAGGCCTGCGGGAGTCATGGATTGAAGTCAAAGAAGCACTAGCAAAGAGGATCTGGGCTGTGCCTGGCTCCATTTGAGAACCTGGCCTAAGGACGCCTTCCGTGTTAGGCTGCTGCATCAGAGTCTGGTTTACAGTGGTCAGAAAAGGAGAAGAGGATCTAGGGTGGAAGTAGCTCCCTCCCTCCGTAGATCGCCACCCCTAGCTTGAGTAAGGGTCACACTTCCGGCCCTAGAAGGCCAGAAAAATTCCCGAGCAGCTCTCGGAGGTCCGTGCTCAGCCTCTTCTTAGGCGCGGGCGCCTCCTGGTGGTTATGCCTGTCACTGCCAGCTCCGTCACTTGAACTCCATGAGCGCGCCTTTGCAGGTTTCTTTGCCAGGGATGGAGGGAGCCCGCAGAGGTTCTAACTCAAGGTTCTCCGAAGGTTGGAGAGGAGGAGGAGAGCGCAAAATCATGGAGAGAGAAAGGGTCTTGTGCTTGCCATCCAGAAGAAGGGCATCTCGGGCCAGGACTGTTCCTCTCCAGAATTGGGATAGGAAGGGAGTTGAGGACACAGTAGTATCCTGGGAAGGCACAGCAAGGTCCCATTTTCCATGAATATAAAACAGAAGTCAGGCATGTGGCCCATGCCTGTAATTCCCAGCACTTTGGAGGCTGAGGCAGGAGAATAACCAGGAGTTCAGTGCCAACCGGGGCTACATAATGAATTCAAGACCAGCCTGTACTCCATAGCAAGACATAGCTCAGTGCAGAGGCTCTGGGTTCCTTCACCACTATTACCAGAAAGAAGGGAGAGGGTAGCAGCAGAGGGGGAGGAAAAATCTGAGAGGAGCCCCAGGGCACAAAGGTTAGAAGTGGCAGAGAGGCATTAAAGGAGAGAAAGGAGCCAGGCAAGGCCCAGCCAGTCGGAAAGACAGCAGGCACTGTTTCGTGGGCTTTGTTTCTTTCTTTCTTTTTATTTGCGACAGGTCTCACTGTGTAGCTCAAGCTGGCCTTGAACTCCTTCTGTAGTCCAGGTTGGCTTCACACTCACTCACAATCCTGTCTCAGCCATCTGAGTGCTGGAATTACAACCATGTGCCACCACACACATCTTGCTTAGGCTTTCTAAAGTCTTTTATTTATTTATTTTTATTTTTATTTTATTTTTTTTTTTTTTTTGTCTTTTTCGTTTTTATCGGTACCAGGGATCGAACTCACGACTGCCTGCTTGCAAGGCAGGCGTTTATGCCGCTGAGCTAAATCCCCAGCCCCTATTTATTTATTTTTTGAGACAGTGCTATGACTGGTCTTGAACTCCAGACCAAGCAGACTGATATGGAACTTGTGGTGATCTTCCTGCCTCATTGCTGGGATTACAGGTGCAGGTCACCACACTCAGCTTTGGGTTTTTTAACATCCTTTTGGCTTTGAAAAACCACTACTAGGAGGTACTCTCTCCTAGTAGAATACAGTATCTTCCCCACTGGCCCAGGACATCCTTCCACCTCAAGCTGGAAGGAGGTGGATTTCTTCTAATGGAAGTTTAACTGGAGCTGCCACAGGCACTTAATTGCACACATGCACTGACTGCCTTCTTCTCTGTCAGCACACAGTGGTGATACTACTCACTGTGGGGAGCAGGGACAGGTATATGACACATCTCCATTCTTTTTGCTTCTTCCTCTTCCATGCGGATGGGGAGGGAGTTGAGGACACCACAAAGAAGGGAGAGGGT